ATTTTTAACTGAAACAATTTCGGCTTAATCGCACCAATGAAGTAAAAACAAAGCCCTAATAATATATTACGCGAACTATATATTATTATTATGTATTATATATATTATATATATATTAATATAATTATATATATATATAAACTTGTAAGAATTATTTTTTGTGAGTACCTTATTTAATGAAAAGTTTAACGTACGAATGAAATATGACGTGTATGAATGAGAATCATCAGAAATATATACATATATATTTTGCATTTAAATAATACTGTACCTAAATTTTTTTTCTTTGCTCAACATGCAATGGCTGGTATAAAATAATGTATCTTAACGTGATCTCCCACATTTAAAGTTAGTTTCACCATCTTCTCCTTCAATAAGTTACACTTAACACTATCCGGATGGAGAATGTCCCAACCCAAAAACATAGAGAGTTTCTTTATGTTAACAGTCGCCGAAATATCGTCAGTCTCTTGTTCCTCTTCGTTTTCATAAACTTGTAGTCCTTTAAAGTGAGTGGACACTGTAGCAAGGTCCACATCAATTTTTATTATCAATGTACCACGTTTATTGGCGATCATTGTCAGCTGAGAATTTATATTTTTCATTCTATCCGTGATGTGCCGTAGATACTTCAACTGTGGCATTTCTAGCGATATCTGGAATGAGCTGTATTTCTGTCGATTCGATTACGCATAAATATTGCATTATTAGATATGTCCTTTTTAGTTGAACTTTTCGCAGAGTTTATCTTTTCCTTTCTCCATGAAAAGAAAAGAAGATGAACCGTGCAAGAAAGTTCAGTTAAAAAGAATTAAGTCTTCTACCTACATCAAACTTGGGAATATCTGGCATTTTGTATTCCGGCCAATCTCTACGAGTTATGAGTTTCACGGGTACATCATGTACACACTGTCGTGAATCAACGGACAGGGAGGTCAGGTCAATTTCAAACGTCAGACAGGGTTGTCGTCTGTTCGTCAATTTAATTTTCACACTCTTCGCCATTGTCCTCAGGCTATTCAAGCTTCTGGCAAACATAGAGGCATCAAACTCCAAGTAGATCTTATTCTCCTGCTCGGTCACACCGCTCATAATATACTCTGCAAAGAAGTGTTGCGGCAATATCACCGTCCAGAGCACGGGTACATGCTCATCACCGACACTGAAGCATAATTCGGTCGGTGCCAATTGCAACACGCAGTACTTTGCCATTCGGGATATAACACTAACAATATCTGAAGAATACGAAAAATGTTCATTGATCAATAAGACGTCAAGATTAAAATCTAAAATGTGCTCTTTACTTCGCGTTTCTTACTTTTTATTTTACTATTTCTTGTCTATCTCTTACTCAGTAAAAATTCATTCTTTCGTTTTCTGTAACCGAGATAAAAGTTAAAGAACTTAGAAATATGTAAAAAGAAATGGGATTGTTTATAAAATGGTTACAAAGAAGGAAAAAGATATGAGGCAAAAAACAAGAAGTAGGAAACAAAGAACACATAGTAGAATGTAGATTAAGCTTAAAAGAACTTTAGAAGAGACAAGATACATGATTGTTGATGAAACAGTTACAAAGAAGAGAAAAAAGGCAAAAGGTAAACAGTAAGAAATAAGAAGCAAAGAGCACACTGTAGATCAGCCTTCAGCAGGATTGTGCATTTTGTAAAATATAATAATCTATGTGAACATCTATGTGAATACAATGTAAACTATGTTTTATGTGTTATCTATATAAATAATCTATGGGTCATGTTTTTGAAGCCTATGTTTTTTGTCATTGTAATGGATTGCACTAAAACTTTTATTTCGTTCATATATTTTTATTTATCAGTATTAATATCAGCTATATTAATATTCACAAAAGTTAATTATTTCTTTCTGTATTACATTATCCCATTCATAATAATTCACATATTTATAATAATGTTAGTCTTGAAAGAGCGTTACTAGTCAAAATGAGATGTTGGAATAATAATGTGTAATTTGTTTTAAGTACAATTTACGATTACTTTTGGATTTACAACACAATCAAATTGAAATAATAATCATCTCAAATAATAATAAACATCTCAAATTAAGTTTGTCGATTTGAAGAATTCTTATTATGAAAAATATTACCCTCACCGGGATTACATATTTTACATATTGTTTATATTGTCTTATATATGAAAAAAATTCATATAAACTTAACGAAAACAATATAAAAATATTCCATGTAAACGTAATCTTGAAATAACGGCACAATCCTGAGCTTTATCATCCTCAACGTCTATAAGGAGGTTAGAAACATAAAATTTAAATTTTACGTGTAAAGTCCCGCATTGCACCTGCGTCTGTCATTCTGCCTTTGAACTTCATTTTTAATCAAGTCATCCGTTTATTATTGACACCTGTGTTATTGCAAATGTCAAAGAAAAAATGAAGAGAATGTAAAATTGGCGCGAAAAACTGGCCCGTTATGTATACCGCAATGCGATCAATGATGCCGACCTGTGTGACTACACTGGGATGCGTTTCAAAACTTGAATCTGTCAACTCCAACTATCCTTTATCTTTATTCAACATTTAATAACAAGGATAAAATAATACTCGAGTTGACAGAGTTGAATTTTGAAATGCAACCCTGGCTGTGTTAAAAAATTGCACTGCTGAAAATCTATAGTTTTCGTTACGTATACTGTACATTTTGGAAAACAATCACTATCACGTGTCATCAAATGACAAGGACTTCGTTTGTTAGCTAGTCTTTTCGCACGATTTAATAATTAAATTGTTTCACGTTTTTTACAATTAGGTAATAAGCTGTGTTCGAAATTTACTCGCAGCGCAAAATTTATTAATGTTTTCCACTGGGAAAACTAGTGCACCGGTGCACACTGAATGCAATTGAAAACAAAACAATTTACATAAATACTTTCAGTTCCGGTAACAAATTGTTACACATGAATATGTATTAATATGTATATACATATATAAATATTCATAAACATATATAATCATATATGAAATATAATATGTCCATACATGTTCATATGTTCATTGTATTTAGAAAGTATTTGTAAAGTTGTATATATTTATAACAAATTGTATATTTAACAGTTATATATTTATAAAATTGTTATAATTAAATATAATTAACAAAATGAGAAGAATGTATTGTTTAAAATATAAATGCAATGTATATTCAATTCATAACCATTCATGCTTATTAAAAAAACATAATCTTCGGGTTACTACATAAATAATTAAATTAATTTTTTTGAACAGCCGAAACTTGAACGATTTTTGTTTTTGTAGTTTTGAATGTTAGCTTTAAGGTATTAAAACATAGTTTTCCTTTAAATATTTTTGTTTCAGAGTTTTACATTTTTGTATGAAAAAGTACATTCTTCTCATTTTGTTAACTATATTTAATTATAACAATTTATATACAATTTGTGATAAATATACAACTTTACAAATACTTTCTAAAGATGTCAAAATATACGTGAGAACCGTTTAATAATTTTTATATATTTGTAAAAGCGATGAAAATTAAAGTATAATTTAAATTAAAAAATTAAAAGAGTTATTTATAATATTCATTGTTTTAAATAACTACACTTCTGACTTATTTCTTATTCAATATTTTATATAAGTTTCCGGAATTTTTATATCTTTTATTTTATATCTTTTATTTTAAACAAGTTGTACCTGTTTTTTTTACAGATTCCTACGATTTTATATTTTAAATAAGTTTCTGGAAGTTATTTTATATTTTTATTTTAAATAATTCATATGTTATTTTATCGAGCCATGATCGGCGTTATACGTAAGTTTAAAGAAATTAATTTCTAGAACACGAATAATTTGCAGTAATAGTAGTGTCTTAAATTAATTTATTAACCAAAAAATTAAATAATGATTAACAAGATATTTAATACTTTTAGCTAAAGCTGTATTTAGCACAAATTGTTTCACGATATTAAGTAAATTCGCATGTATCTTTATATAAAGAACATATATAGGATATTTTATCAACCTTTATTTAAGTATGGATCATTAAAAAGAATTATGAAAATTGAGATATAATGTTGGAATATCAAAAATACCTCACGCGAATAATTACTAATTCGTTTAAAATAGCCGTGCAAGTAATATAGGATTGTGCCCGAGATGCCACAAAGCAAAACGCGAAATGTACGGCGATACTCGTTTGTCAAAATCATGTAAAATACAAATAATTGAATAAACCGTTGAATATTTTTCGTACGCAGTAATTGGGTGTAATCTAAACAAACGAAAAGCGAGGGGGAACGTGCCGAGCGGAAAAAACCAGGGTAAGGGACGCGCGGAGAGAAGCGAGGGGAAGGCTTGCGCGGCAAAAAGCGGTGGGGAGCGTACCTATGTCGCTACGTCATCACTTCGGCATTCGCTCGGCGCCCGCTGAGGGAGACGGATGGGTGACACAGTTGCTACAGGTGTCGCGCTATAATCTACGAAAATTCGATATTCACGAACGCGAATTAATGATTAATTGCGTACGGCTGCCCTAATAGTAATGTTGCTCAAAACTAAGGTGTGTATTAAGAGTTATATCTCAATCTTTATTCTCTTTGATCATTTACATATAAATAAAGATTAATAATAAATTATACGTTTTTAAATAAAGTTTTTTTAAATAAAGATAAACGCAAACATTTTTTAAATTATAAAACAATTTCGACTAAATTTAATAATGGATATATAAACAGAATTTATATTATACATTTACGGATATATATAAATTAGAGATATCTAAGGGCGGTATATATAGTCTGTTCATATTTCAAGACTGTCTTAAGTAATATCTTAAGACGCTAATACGGCTCTCTGATCTCTTTTAAATCTTCGTGATTTCTTAAAATTGTATTTAAGACGGTCTTAATATAAACTCTGACACTATGAATATCCACCTAAGATACAGATGGATGAGTCGTGTGTGTAAAGAATTCAACAAGTAAAACAAATCGTATAAAGCATCGTGTAACACATATTACAAAATAATCTACTCGTTACGTTTTAATATTCATCGAAGAATATTAAAACGTAAAGAGTAAATTATTTTGTAATATGTGTTAACGTTAATATTTCGACAAACGGTTGGCGCGTGACCTTGGGGTGGGGATGGTACGGGGTAGCTCGGAGCGGCGCGTCATGTTTACGCCTAGTTACGACGTCATTCCATTACCGAAGCTCGTACAAGTATATGCGAAATAAAGTCAGAGCAGATATTAAACTATATTAATTGTGAAAGAATTGTGAATTGCGTTTGCAGGAGTATTCGTATTAGCATTGGTTTTTTATGCCTCGTTTGAGTATGCCACCGTTCATACAGACAAGTAGCCGTACAGACACGAGGCATAAACAATCAATGCTAATATGAATATTCTCATGCAAATAACGCAATTCACAATTCTTTCACAATTAATATAGTTTAATATCTGTTCTGACTTTATTTCGCAATGATAACGAATTGCAGACGTGTGTGTTTGATGTTCGTTGCTAAAAGTTAACCGCTTGCATAGTAATTGCATAGTAATATAGGTAATAGCTATATATTACATTTTTCAGATTATCTTCCCTCTCACGGGTACACCTTATCGTGGTGGGAGGGCTCAGTACTCAGAGGATTTTTACAAGAAAAGAACGATTTTTTTCAAATGTCTCAAAATTTTCGGATATATATCTGAAAGTATCTATATAAATTTTTAGATATTGAATAAAATCGTTCTCTTCGTGTAAAAATCCTCTGAGGAAGCTAACGTACTCTCGTCGCCGATTTGAAAAGTAAACGAACCGCAGCCGGTTCGTCGCGTCGCGCGTTTCGGGAGTGCCGTTCAAGTTATCGGATTCAAGTAATAGTCCGCGGGCGAGTACAGTGCATTATTCGCGAGTGTTTACGCGAGTGTCCTGTGCATATTCTGAGAGGAGGTGGAGGTCTGGGAGAGACAACGGGCATCGGTGGAGCAACCTGGCGGTAAATATTATTTTTTATTTGTGTAAAATTAACCTTTTTTCACTTATTTTTAATTTATTTTATTTGACAATGATTAAAAAATGATTATTTTTAAATCATTGTTAAATGAAATAATTTAAATAATTTTATATTCTATAAAATAATTATATATTCTCTAAAGTAATTATATATGTATTCTCTAAAATAATTATATATATTTTTTAAAGAAGATCTTAGCGAAAATAAATTTGTATAAAATTTTTAAGTAATTTTTAAGTAACTCTCTTTTTATTTAATTTCGATAAAAGGAGAGTTACTGAAAATTTTTAGATAAAATAATTATACATATTCTCTAAAATAATAATTATATATATTATATTATATTCTAAAATAAAAATAAGAAAGAATATGCGGCCACATATGCAAGTTATTATTCGCACAAGTCGTATATTTAAAATAAAATTACATGTAAACGTTTCGGTGAAGTTGTGATTATCATTAGCACAATCAAAAGAATGGAAATGTTATAAAATATAATTTGGCACATTAGGGTGTTGCAGTACAAAATTCCAAAAATTAATCCTGCCTTCGTAATCTCTTTTACAGTTAAGAATTTATTCTTGATAACTTGTATGTTAAAACGGGATTACCAGATTCCTTGTTTTCACAACTATCAATATAATACAATAATGCGACGCTAATTTGTTGGAAGAATATTAGCGTAGAGAGATGGACAAATATTATATAAGATAGTAAGACTGTTCTGTACGAAATTTCGTGTAATTACAGTGACAGTTTTAACATACAGTTATAAATATCAAGAATAAATTCTTAATTTCACTGCAATAGAGATTATGGAGACAGGATCAATTTTTGATATTTTGTACTGCGACATTGTAATGTGCTAAATTATATTTTTTAACATTTGTATTTTCTCTTGATTGTACTGACGATGATCACGACTTGATCGAAACGTTTACATGTAATTATATTTTAAATATATGACTTGTGCGAATAATAACTTGCGTATGTGGCTGTATGCTTTTTCTTATTTTTGTTTTATGTTATCGAGCCACCTTTATAACTTTGTTTAAATTTAATTTATATATAATCTCTAAAAAAAATCTTAGCAAAAATAAATTTATCTAAAATTTTTAAGTAATTCAAATAATACTTTAAAGTTTTCTATAATTTATTTTTGCTAAAATCTTCTTTAGAGAATATATATAGAAAAAAGTCGCCGATATTGATATAAGTCTCCTAAAGCGACCTTTTATCTCTCAGAAACTAACACTATTGCACTTTATTAATCCTAATACAATCATGATCCGTTTAGCTAATTAAAGAAATACAAACTCGTATATATTTCTGACTTATTTCTATACCAAATCAACTAAAAACGAATTCTTCGATTGTGAAAATAAAATTCTTACGATTTTCTTTTGTAAATTGCGTAGTTTAAATAAGTGACTATATTATTGATAATATT